GTCCCTGCGACAGCACCAGGCCGGCGGAAGAGAGGTTCGCCACGCAGCGTGCTCGCTCAGAGGGTCGGGTGCGACGTGCAGTCGCAGAAGTCCTGGGGTCTGGCAACCTATTACGGAGACTTCATGTTTGATGCACCCGAAGACTTCATGTTTGATGAAGGAGAAGCACCCGAATTTGAGCGGAGTCCAGGATATCTGCGAAGAGAGAATGCTTAGGTGGATACGGGCACCACAGTCTTCTCTTGCGGAGGAGCTTTTTGGAATAATTACTTCTGCTCCCCATGTGATGCTATGTGAGGCTCGATTTGATACAGTGCCGTCCGAACAGTTCATGGACATGAAGCAAGTTACAGCCCAGCTACTTCAAATTTCCCGGCTGATGAGATGATGCACCCATTACCATGTGCCGAGCACGACTCTGCAGTGCGCGCTCACCGAGCAACTACATCTCACGTAGAGCTCTGTACAGCGCATTTGTAGTCTTCCTGCAGCCCCAAAATGCCCCAAATATTGTGTCGAAAAGTGTTGAGAATCATGACATGTTGGAACTATTGAAACATGTTAAAGCTGGATTGTGCCTCTCGCACAGTCGAACCATGAAGCAGCATCCTAGCAAAGCGACGACCTCTGCAAGCAGCCCCCTCACAAAGTGACCTCATAATCAGAATGTTGCCAGGGGAGCTGACTTCTCATCGGCTCAAGCCGTGGAAGATGGGTAGGTGGGGAGGTGAAAATCCAGACAAGGAACCATCCACAGCACAATGAACACTTCACAACTTGGACACGGCGTTCCGGCAGGGGGATCTACGCGCACCGCATCACCTGTTTAGACCTTTTTAAAAGGACTTGACCACGACCCCTCCACGTTTTTGCGCCACACGTGCTCGCAGTCCTAGGCTAGAACAGCTGGCGGGTATGGGCTTTCCAGACCGACCCTCGAATATCCAGGCCATGTGTGCCATGTGTGTCGCGAACTCGCGTGTGGGTTGGGGACCGACAAGGACTGAAGGATTCAGGATGTCTTCAAAACAAACTCCGATCAGCTCGGCTTCGCGTTGCCTAAGCCGAAGCACGTGTCCGCTCGTCTCCAGGCAGCTTTGCCCACTCCGAGCCTCCACCGGAAGTTCGGCCAATCCAATTCGCTCACTCTTTACAGAAATCTTTGGCCTTCCAACATTTACAACTCATGCAGTGGAGATAGAGACGGAGGGAGAGAGAGAGAGAGAGAGATCAGTCTAAAGTTTATAGATTCACAACCCCCATTGAGCCCAGATTCAGATCACCAACCTCATTTGGTCTATGAACCATGGAAGAGGTTCATAGACCCCATAAAGGCCCCAGGACTGCACCGATCCCATTTCTTCGAACCTGATCCTCCGGGCGAGGCCCTGCAAATGGCCAATGGGGATGTGAACCAGGCGGGAAACAGGAACTGGTTGAGGTTAAGACATATCTAAAGGAAGTACTCGACTCGTGTTTAGATAATTCAATCACGATTCATCATGATAGAGAGCACCTGGGAAAGAGATGAGCTCTTGCGACTCCGGGCGCTGGGTGATTCCTGCCATATTCAATTCCACGGTGGGCCAGATGGCATTATTGCAGCAATGCCAAGCATCTAGTAGTCTGATGATTGTGTTTAGCAGGTTCTTAACCTCTTTCAGATGTTCCCCTGCACTGCTTGGAGTATTGGACCATGCAGTTTTGCGTTTAGATTGTTATTTAGTTAGTCAGTTAGTCTTATATGAGCTTTTCGCCTTTCCACAGGGGCACTCAGTTGGCTTTTTCTCGGCCAGGCCATCAACTTTCTTCTGGGCGGCGATGCCCCATAAGTCAGGTCTCTTCGCGACGGGACTGTCGCGGGACTTCTGAAGCGGCCCTGAAGTCTCAAAGCCAAAGCCATAGCATCCCACTCATGAATAAATAATGACCACTCCAGTACAGGGAATATATTTGGGATGGGCATCGATGGCATCAGGTTTTGCATCAAAAAGCGTAATTAATCCCATAATCCGATCCATCATTGTGTTTCTTTCACAGTCCTGGCATCCTGTGGGACATGAGCAGATTTCCGGCCCTTGCTGTTGGAAAAAAGCCGCGTGATTCCCTAGATACGACCGATGGGTCCCGGCCTTGGCGTCGTCTTGGTCCACCAGGCCCGCCGTGCGACGTGATCGAAGGCCCCTCAGGAGAGGCGATCGCAGCGCAGGAGAGTGGGCGGGGTGAGAGGAACTGAAGGATGGACTCTGAGGAACTGAAGGGTGCAAATGTGGGCTTCAAAACTTTGAATTCAGGGTTGTGGTCTGGCCAGAAACGGGAGCAACATGGAGCAACTCGGTTTCCTTCAGAGGTGGCCCAGAAGAGTTGGTTTGTATTATATGATATATATAAATAATTGCAAAAATATGTGAGAGTTATATAATGATATACTGTGAATATGATGTATATTGTATAGCTTTATGTAGCTTTACTTTTTTCAGTTGGTTTATTTACACAGTTAATAAGAGTGTTCAACTTGTTTACTTATATGTATATGTACACATTCTGACATGCTTGAAGTGTTTGAAGCCAATGTCTTGTGGATGGAGGCCTGAGAGACTTTGCAAGCTGCAAACTATTGTTGACACATTTTCTTGCAGGAAGCGTCAGGTTATCAATTCACCTATGACGAATCAATTCACCTATGACGAAACTTAGGCGGAACCCCTGCTTTTGAGAGGACACACACGCTGCAGAGCTAGCCACGCTGCAGAGCTAGCTAGACTCCTCTTCAGAATGTCACTTTCTTATGACACTTTCTTTCTACTGTATTTCCTGCCTTCAGTGGTTCACTTTTTAGATTTGATCGTCTTAATCAATTGAAAAACACCTCCACCGTTGCTCACTAACCTATGGAGCTTCATGAGTTTTCCTTTGCATCGGAGAACGAGATGAGTTTTTGTTCGACCCGTTTCAAGTGCAGAATGGGGTTGCAGATGCGGAACCTTCAAGCATTAAGCAGTGTTTCTTTTCGACTCGGTCAATACCAAAGGCCCTTGGTATTAAAAACTGGACCAACGTGGTGCGACCAATCAAGGCGACCAACCAAACAGCGCTCCATTGTTTGGAAAGCTGCTGGCAGGAGTGGAATGAGAAGCCCAATTCGTGAGAATGGAGCTTCAGAGATTGATTGAAGATTCAGGCTAGCCAATAGCCAAGAACCTCTCAAAAAGATTCAAGCCTAAGATATTGGTGTTGATATGTGTTGATGGTGTTCTATGGTGTTGTTAACATTTGGATCAAAGGGGCGAATCCCAGAGAACAACGCCTACGAAAGACAGCTAGGAGCACAGATATTCCAGTTAAAAAAAAGGGCATGTGTTTGCCAGGCAAGGTCACAACACATGGAGGTTTATGAGACGGCCACATGTGGCTTGTAAGCGTGGTCAGGACTTTAGTCGTACCTGTCCTTATCCCGTTTGTAAGCGCACCTTCCAGATCTTTGGGGTTTCCGGGATCGGCGGGTTTCTCCGCAGATGTTGTTGGATGCGTGGTGCAAGCGTTTGCATCAGCACCATTGCCTGAGCATGTTTTAGAAAACAGGTCCTTTGACCTGACCTGCACCATTTTGGTTCACATCGACCAATCTGAGTTCTCCGCAGTTCTCCAGCGCTTTGCTCAACGAAAGACCGACAGGTTGTGTTTTGAAATTACTTTTGACCGACAGATGGTCAGCCCATCCGAGCAGTCCATCGACCGGACGCAAGCGTGCGAAGCTCCAGTTTCGGCGTACCCTCGGTACCCAGAGCGGCACCCAGAGGAGCCACGGGGGATCATGAGATAAACTTGTCCATTTCTGTTTTCAATGTTTTTTGGATCATGAGATCACTGTAATCCAGTTCTGTCTGAACCTGTTGGAATCGGGTCCTCACGTGGGAAGCCAAATGCGCGTCCTCTTTTCTGGGTCATATTCTCTGCGCAGAAGATTAAGCACCCCTTGACCCGTACAGCCATGCTAATGACTGTACTTCCACCGATCAAAAAGAGATGTCACCCCTTGGGCCTAACAGACGTTCGAGAACTGTGCACCGTTTCCACCCCATTGATCGATCTTTAGGATCCAAAACAAAGACAAGGCGTTTGTTCTGCGAGGTCTTCACGTGTGTTCACGTTCCCAAGTCTTTGGATCGTCCACATATTAGTTCACTGAAAGAGAACACGCCAGCAGAAGATCACCAGCCCTTGGGCTCCGCTGCAATCCACAAAAGCGCGGTGGTCAAAGGGAGCGGTCTTCAGGCACCTTTTGAGCCCAGCTCGCACCCTCACCACACGTCCTCGAACGCTCGGACGACGAAAAGGGGGTTGAAATCGACGGAAAGGGAGTATTACTATATTTATATAACTATATCTGAAGCCTTAAGCATATACTGTATATATAATGTATGGGCACACACACATGTAAATTCATGTAAAGAGCCATTCTCCAAGATATCGATGGCTCTTCTTCCGATCTGGGAACGGCTAGTTTGAGCCATAGGTTCCAAACACGTCCAATTGGACAAGGCGGGCTCCTATAACTTCTACAGAGGTCCCCCAAAATATATAGAAACAATTTTCAGGTTTGACCAGATTGTTGAGCAGATAGTTGGGCTCCCCCGACCAGGCACATCGTGTCGTCGGGTGACTGGAAATCGCAAGATGACTAGGTTTTGACCTGTGATGAGTTGACATGTCTTGACATGTGTATGCGTTTCTCGCCTTGGAAGGTGTGTCAACCTCGCCTCACTTTGGACGTATACGAAGACGTAGAACTGTCTCTTCCACCTGTTCACCGTATTTCATCCGTTCATCTTGTCTGTCGGTGTCCCTCGGGCGAGCATGGGTTCCCAAGGCTTACTGAATCGGTGTGGACGATTCCACAGATGTGTGGCTTAGAGGGGCGAACCGGACCGGAATCGCGACGTTGCTTTGGCCAGGCTTGCTGATTGTGATATGTCATTCTCTTTTGCCATTTTGGCTTCAGATCATCGTTTAAAATCGATGTAGACCCAGCCGGGCGGCAGGAATCTGCGCATCCATGTATATCCATGTGCCTTTGCTGCAGGGAGTTGGGTAGCAAATCCATGCAAATCCTGCAAAAGAGATTTGCTTTCCATGTGACAGAAACATTTTGGACACACAGTGTGCTTGTCCAAAGAACCCATAATCAAATCAAATATTAGCGCATTCATTTGTTGGAGTGTCAGCAGATTATGTGTGGTTTCTGACATCTAAATGCATTCGTTCCAGGAACACCCTTTTGGGCATCATAAACATGATGCAACATAAGTTTGAAATAGTTTGTAACTATGTGTATATATATATACACATAAGTTGCATAAATCAATCAATACCTATCTACTGTATCCCTGCTGATGGCACATGATGGCACCCACCTGGGTTTTGGCCCGCTGTGATGCTTGACATAATTCTCTTGTTGCCGGGCTCCCCCCAAGAAGGTGTAGCATTTTCTCCGAAGGAACTGACGATCGCTGGAGAAAGCTGCACAAACCGCTCACACTTGCCTATGTTTGTTGCACGAGACTTTCACCATTCCGGCCTTTGACTACTTAGAGGCCAGTTTCGTCAGAACAACAAGAAATAGTCCACGGAGGAACGCGGTCATATGTTGTTTCTAGGTTGCCTCCTGTATCAATGAAATTCTGATCTCGAAAGCGGTAAGAAACTAAGTAAATCCGTCAGTCCTACTGGGATACCCGGTGCATGGATCTCTACAAATTGGGAACCCTTGACATCTACAAAATGCCATTCATGACCCATTCTATGGTGAGGGTACCCTCGAGAAACATGGCTTAAAGCCTGAGCATGGCATTTTGTAGAGTGGTCATGTTCAAAAAGGTCAGCCTGGGTCATAGATAAGACATCTGGAATGCAATTTTATAGAGAAGCTGATCATGTTGGTGAAGTGACAAAAGACAAAAGCGCCTCTGATGGTTGCTCTTCTTTTCAGCAATCAACTTGTAGTATCATAAACAATCTAGAAAGTATGGCCACATTGTGGCGAATCTGGCACTAAATTGCTTTCGGGTGGAGCAATTCCTTTCCACTTAGAGATTGCTGAAACCAACAAGCAACGGACCGGAACAGATGAGATTTGGAAACAAATGGAAAAAGCATGCGCTGCTTCGTTTGAGTCATTTTATACGGCCGCCTCGGCATTTTGCCTTCTTCTTTGGAATGTCATTTTATAGTCCTAGTCCTAGCCTCTTCTGGCTTTATACTTGTTCAGTTCAGATGGATTGCGGTTTCATTAAAAAGGTAAACTTCCAGCTTTATACACCACAGAACTTGATCTGGTCGTTTCATAAGATCCACTTGCCAGGTGTGTTTTGTTGCTTAGGGTTGGTCACATCATTTATGGATTTACGTGGCACGGTCATTTATAGAGAGCCGAGGTTGGACATCCCATTCTATAGAAAGTGTAGTTCTATCAAGTGTTCCGCAAACCCTCCAATGCCTTGGCTCTGGTCAGAGGGTATAAACTTGGTACACTTCTTGCATTGCATAACCAGAAATGAGAACTTGGCACACTCCGAAGCTCACAGGGTGCTTGCCTGTTTCAGAGCAAAAGAGGGGACTTACTTTCAAGACGTGATCTCGATATAGCGAAAGACCTGAAAATTGGTTACTGACTTTACGTAGCTGTACTGGGTCCCACCGTCCTCACCGTCCTGGGGTGGGAGCCCCGCTTCTTTCCTCGCTCCTCGGTGTCTCCGCGGTGTCTCCTTCGTCGTTCGTCACCGCACCCTGTTGGTGACTCCCGGTCTAGGCTGCAGGACAGCGATCCTGTTGACTTCAGGACAGGAGAGACCGAGGTTTGGGACGCTTCGCGGGCAGAAAGCTCGAAACGAAAGCCGGGCACGGGGCATCACGAGAAGACTGCAGTTTCGAACACCCGCGAGGAAAGACATGGGGAGGAAACCTGAAGACATTTTCAGGGCCGTAATTACCGTGAACCGTTCATTTGAGCCTTTCTTCGCAGGAAGGTAGGGCTGGAAGATGAAGAATGCGTTGGGACTGCCATGCTGAAAAGTTGGAGGTTATTTTCACCAAAAACTTTCGACAGAGTTCTCAGGTTTGAGCTTGAGCTGATTCGTGCGCGACAGGTTTGAGTCATGCACGGATCGGTGCTAGTTTCAGTTCCGGATCGTCTGAAAGCTGTGAGTCATCCAGTCATCCCTGTCATTTACTTGGCATTTGCGTAGACTAGAATCGGACCGTCGGTTCAGGATGATCACGCCCAAAGCGATTGCCAACGTCTCCCGCATTGGTGAACTCTCAACGGCACCGAACAGCGCCTGGGCGAACGCCGCAGCGGGGCGTGCGCCGAGCACAGTTGAAGTGTTGGAGGTTGAAGAAGCGACTGTGGCTGAGGGGGGGGCTTCAGATGAGTGACGAACAGAGGGGAAAGTGACGTGTTGGCACGCCTGTTGGAGTTGAAGACTATCGCTGCCGTTTCAATCTGAGAAGGATGTGGTGGGTTTAGTATGGTTTAGATATGGATGAGAGGCTGCAGGGACTGTCTCAGAGAAGCAAACTTAGACTTGGACTGTTGTGCCCTATATTTGGATGAGTTTTCCAGGTTGAGCAGCTCATCATACTACTCCCAAGAACCAGAACCGGTGGGCCATTGGTGTTGAATGGTGAGTTGATGATTCAAGTATATAGATCAAAGATCCCTTGAGTGCTAAAGTAAAAATGGCCAATGGCCAATGACCATTCCTTTCGATCTGGCGAGCGAGATCATTTAGCCTTGCCTCCAACATCCTCCAATGAGGACATAACCGAACTCTGCTTCTCATGTGCTTTCAACGTGGTTGTGTTCAAAATGATCGCACTCAGAGTCAGAGTCCACCGTTTTTCTTATGGATCCTACACTACCCGATTGCCGATCAGGATTGATCTTCCAGATTAGGGCTCAAGGGCCGTAAGGGGGGTCTTCGTTTTGCAAAGTTTTGCTTATTTTTGGCTCAGGGAATCAGAGTGCCTTTCAGGACTGCTTCAGGTAGATGATCCCCACATTTGGAATTTGAATGGGTAGAACATTGTACACATAACACTTGGTACTTTAATGCACTTTACAGGGTCTTTGCTACCCAAACGTTGGTTAGGTGGTCAGCGGTTCCGTCCCATAACATTCTGATCGTCTCGTCATCAAAAAGATCACCCTATCCAAGTGGGTTGGCCCTTATTTTTCTCTTGAGTGTGTATTGAAACAAGGAGATGTATGGGTAGTGCAGCACCCCCTTAAGAATGAAAGAACATCCACTAAGTCACTACCCCAAGTCGGCCAGACATGGCCAGTCGACCGTCTTTCCAAACGAAAACCACCTGCGACTCAGGTGCCCTGTCGACTCCCCGGACGTCACTCCTGCCCTCGTCGGCGCTACATCCGAGTCAAAGCGACCTGGTGGTGCTGGGGGGACTCCAGGTGGTGTGGCTTTGAGAATGAGGGTCAATTAAGGGCCAGGGTCATTTAGTCAAGCACCCCAAGTAAGTCTGTAAATATAATATATATATATAAATCAAGATGCTGTAATGGCTAATGGCATGGAGTGTTTGGGGTGTGTGCCGAAATCGATTTCAGGGGAGCTCTTCGATCAAAACCCGGTCGATGTGGTACTCGTTCTTTGTCATCCATCGACCATTGCCGTCCATCGTTTGAGCAGAACAACCGGACGGTGGCTCTCTCGGTGTTTTGGAGGAAAGTTTCAGATGTGATTAGATGTTCACATGTGGCTGCCAGGAGCCTAAACATGAAACGCTGGCCTTTTTTCCAGAGGCAGACTTTTATGAGAGATGGCTGGTAAAGAAGAACCCATCTCAGACTTGGCATATGATGGACGACACATGTTTTTTTCGGATCCATACTCGCCCAAGAGTTTCCAGAGTGCTTAGGCACGTGCTTTGGGTGACTTGATTATATACTGTAATCAAACCTCTCGGCAACCTGTGTATCTATCGCAGAGGACATACTGGCATACTGTGAAGCTGCTCCAACTTTTAGTTGGGATACTTCTGCAGGTCATGAACAGCTTTTACAATCAAGGAGCTCTCCCTCCCAAAATGCCTTCACAAATCGCAGAAAGCGATCGCCGTCGCCGTCGTGGTGCAGTGTGAAGGGCGTTCTCGCTCCGTCGCCCAGGTATTTGGAGCCAGACGACGAGCGCACCGCAGCTGCCCGTCCGGCCGCCGCAACGAATCTGCAGTGAGACATGGGTGTTGGCGACGCGAACGGGGCCTGAAAAGAGGACGTAACACCTCGTAGCACCTGTTTGTTTGGGCCGTTTGAGATGGAGGTTCTTTGGTACGAGGCCTCTTTTTGGTTGCCATGGAAGCGTACATGGACGGAAAGGGGACTATGAACTATGAGGTTTTCTTGAGGAGTTCTTTTTGAGGTGGCATTGAGTACTTGACGCGCAACAAACATAGGGACTTCCATTGTGACATGGTGAGTTGGTTCATTTGTTGACAGTTACACGGCGACAGGACGACCCTGGAGGACCCTCTTGATCAGGACGTTGGTTAATACTTTGGTTGAGGAGCACCGGCTGCACCAGTAATAAGTTCTCAACATATGATTATTATATACATAATTGTATTTATATACATATCATATTATACATGATTATTCTCACCTGATTGAACTAGGGGAGGGTCGAACATCTGGAGCACAAAGCAAAGGTTGTCACTGGTGTCTCCCCCCGAAAACAAGTTCCAAAGATGGGGCTCTGGTTCAAAACTCTTCCCAGCCTGAAGCCATTGAGGCTACTGCGGCCGTGCCTTGGAATCATTGGAGGAAGACGTACGCCCCGCGGGATGGGGAGAAAGGCCTATGCGAGTGAGTTCGTTTGAGCTTGTTGTTCCAGCCCGCAAGCTGTGACAACTTTGATTCACCCAAGAAGCCGCAACAAGCAGTAAGGTTTCGGTTCGGTTGGAGTCGGTTTGAATTTGAATGTTTAATTGAAACTTCGAATCGGTTCGGTTTGGTTGTAGAAGTATTTTTTCATGGACTTTCGGTTTGGTTCACGGTTCGTTTCGGTTCTGTGAGGCATAAGTTACGCAATGGGGTAAAGAAAGAAAGGAACAGATAAACATACAAGACAAGACTAGACAAAAGACAGGACAGGACAGGACAAAAGGGAAAGCAGAAGGAAAGGAAAGGAAAGGAAAGGCTTCTTCCCTTTTAAGGAAAGGAAAGAAAAGGAACGATTTTTTAAGGAAAGGAAAGAAAAGGAAGGGAAAGGAAATAAAAGGGAAAGAAAAGGAAGGGGAAGGAATGCACTTTGTGAATATGCCTTTTCCAGGCCTTCCAAAAAGCATATTGTAAGGAAAGCAAAGCAAAGAATAGGAAAAGGACTCAATCAATCTCAATCAACCTCTATCAATCGCAAGCAACCTCAATCAATCTCAATCAATCTCATTCAACCACAATCAATCACAATCAATCTCAATCAATCTCAAGCAATCACAATCAATCACAGTCAATCACAATTAAGCACAATCACAATCAAACACAATCACAATCACAATCACAATCACAATC